GGGCTGCGGACGGTCCTCACCGGCCTGTCCCCACCCAGGGACGCCCGGCCCCGCGCCCGGCGGGGATGCCGACAGCCTCGGGGGCAGCAGCGAGTCTCGATCCCTGGACTCTCCCACGTCCAGTCCAGGTGAGGAGAGGCCACGCACTGGCCTTCCATCGAACGTGCCCTCTGACCTCTGACCTTGCCTCTGCCTATCCGCCTATTCCCTCTACCTCTGACCCTTGAATAGGATGTCTGATCTCCCCCTAAGGGGGCGGGGGGGGGGCTCCCCAGGGTGATCCAACAATTCCTCGTGACCCTGTGACCCCAGGCTCTGGCTCACGGCGGCTGATGAAGGCCGCGTCCACGGGCACCGAGTCCTCGGATGACTTTGAGGAGCGTGATCCCGGTGAGACGGGAGGGGTGCGGGCCTGGGGCGGGGCGGGGCGGGGCGGGAGAGACCAGGCTCCTGACTCGGTTTCCCTTCAGATCTGGGAGATGGGGCGGAGAACGGGCTGAGCAGCCCCTTCAGGAAGGGGTCGCTGTCCCCCGCGGCGCAGACCCACCGGCTCCGCCGGCTGCGGGGCCCTGCCAAGTGCCGAGAGTGCGACGCCTTCATGGTCAGCGGGGCCGAGTGCGAGGAGGTGCGACCCCGCCGACCCCGCCCAGGACCTCCCCCAGCCTGAGACCTCCCCCTCCCCCTCCACCCAGGACCCTCCCCCCCACAGCATCCTCTCTCTTAGGCCACCCCGGTCTTGAGGCTTCCGACACCCTTTTCTGACCCCAGTGACCTCTTGACTCTTGCCCTTGCCCTCCAGTGCTTCCTGACCTGCCACAAGCGCTGTCTGGAGACTCTGCTGATCCTGTGCGGGCACCGGCGGCTCCCGGGGCGGACGGCCCTGTTTGGGGTGGACTTCATGCAGCTCCCCCGGGACTTCCCCGAGGAGGTGCCCTTTGTGATCTCCAAGTGCACGGCCGAGATCGAGCACCGCGCCCTGAGTGTGCAGGTAGTGCCTCTGCTATGGCCCACCCCGTCCCCACCCCGTCCCCACCCACGTCACCACCCGGGGGTCCCCCCTCTCCACCTGTCCCCCAGGGCATCTACCGGGTCAGCGGATCCCGGGTCCGTGTGGAGCGGCTGTGTCAGGCCTTTGAGAATGGCCGAGCCCTGGTAGAACTTTCTGGAAACTCACCTCATGACATCACAAGTGTCCTCAAGAGGTTCCTCCAGGAGGTGAGTGTTTAGGGGAGATAGTAGCGGGGGGACTTGGGCTGGGGACCCCCCCCTCCGCTTGCTCTCACACTGTGCCCCCTCGTCCCAGCTCACCGACCCCGTGGTCCCCTTCAACTTGTACAACAAGTTCATCTCTGTGGCTAAGACCCTGCGCACGGACCCCGGGGGCGCCCCCAGCCCCAGCCCCAGCCCCGAGCTGATCCACGAGCTCAAGAGCCTCCTGGTGAAGCTGCCCAACTCCAACTACAACACCCTACGCCACCTGGTGGCGCACCTGTTCAGGTGTGGGCTGACCCTTCCCTGGTCACATGACCATGCACTCTCTCCCCCCCCCCCCACCTTTGACCTGTTCCCTGGGTTCTGACACCTGATCTCAGGCTCTGCATGGGAGTCTCCAGTGGTAACAGGTGACCTGGCTGGTTGGGCCTGGCAGCCCTGCAGGCTCTGCCCTTCCCTTGTCCAGCGGCCTCCGCCCTCCGCTGATCCTTGTCCACCTGTCCTCAGGGTGGCCACACAGTTTGAGGAAAACAAGATGTCTGCCAACAACTTGGGCATTGTGTTTGGGCCAACGCTGCTGCGGCCACCAGGTGCCCCGAGAGCCCTGGGCGCCAGCTCCGTCGCCAGCTCCGTCGCCAGCTCTGTCGCCAGCTCCGTCGCCTGCCTGCTGGACTCCACGCACCAGGCCCAGGTGGTGGAGTTCCTCATCGCCAACTATGAGCAGATCTTCGGGATGGACGAGCTGCCCCTTATCACCGAGCCACTGCCCCAGGACCCCAGCCCCGCCCTGGAACCCCCCACGACCACCCCCCAGCCTCGGCCCCCAGCCACAGCCTCGGAAGCCAGCCCAGACCCCACGCCCCACGGTGCCCTGGAGGCGGCCATGCACCCCCAGGTAGGAGCCTGCTGGACCCATGGGTATGGATAGTGCCTTAACTAGTTCAATGCTCTGGCTGTCTCTGTGTCTCTCTCCTGTGTGTGTGTGATTGCTGCTACACTTTTTAGCTCGAGGCTAGCGCTATACCACTCAAGCCACAGCTCCACCTCCAGTTTTTGGTGGTTTGTTGGGAATAAGCATCTCATAGAAGCCTGGCACCTGTGGCTCCCACCTGTCATCCTAACCACTCAGGAGGCTGAGATCTGAGGATCTCAGTTCAAAGCCAGCCTGGGCAGGAAAGTCCATGAGATTTTTATCTCCAATGAACCACCAGAAAACCAGAAGTGGCTCAAGTGGTAGAGTGCTTGCCTTGAGCTGAAGAGCTGAGGGACAGCGCCCAGGCCCAGAGTTCAAACTCTATGACTGACCAAAAAAGCAAAGCATGCAGTGGTGAAGTGGCACTGACAGTCCAAAGGAGCTGACTGCTCACCAGCCGGACCCACCCATGCACCAAGAACATGGACTGGTCTCAGCCTGAGCCCTGACCCTGAGCTTTCTTGCTCACAGCTGTCACTCTTCCACTTGAGCCACAGCACCACTTCTGGTTTTCTAGTGGTTTATTGGAAATAAGAGTCTCACGGGCTTTCCTGCCTGGGCTGGTTTTGAACAGCAATCCTCAGATCTCAGCCTCCTGAGTAGCTTGGATGACAGGCGGGAGCCGCCGGCACCAGGCTCAAAGGACTTCCTGTAGCTTTCCCAAGAGTCTCAAGGAATCTGGGGTCACATTTTTGGGGTTCTCCCTGCAGAACCCAACTCCGCAGAATGACCTAAGAGAGGAAGAAGGTGAAGACACCCAAGATAGAGGAGGGGAAGGTGCGCATGTTGGGGACTAACTCGGGCTTTGGGGGGGGTCCCCTGCCCGGGGGAGGGTGGTATGTGGAGAACTTGGGATGTCCAGTTCTGCCCAGCACTGACCCCTCCCCACACACAGTGTCTAGCCCAGGCTCTGAGGACCCCATCCTGGGGACGCAGCCCCGCGGCCATTTCAGCCGGCAGCCGGTGAAGTACCCGCGGGGGGCCATGCACCCCGTCACTCAGCAGCTGTCCAGTTTGGCCCTGGTGGCCTCCACGCTGCCTGAGGACAGCCCCCCAGGGAGCTCGAAGGGAGGGGGGCCTGGCCCTGCTGCAGCTGCCCCCGAGGGGACCCCCCTGCGCCGCACCCCACTGCCCAAGCACTTCGAGATCACGCAGGAGACCGCCCGGCTCCTCTCCAAGCTGGACAGCGAGACTGTGTCCCTGGCCCCTGGCAGCCCCAACGCCCCAGCTCAGGAGGAGGAGGACCGCTTCTGAACCCACCCCCAGCTCCTGGCTCGACCCGACGTCCAAAGGGCCCAAGGCCCCAGACACTCAGGGGAGATGTCCCAGGATCCCCCCTACCGGACACTGTGGTCTCAAGTGTCTGGACCACTCGGGTCAGAGGTCACTCAGGGTCAATACAGGTCAGGAGGCGCAGGGGTCCACCCCGGTCTCTGACCTCTGGAACTTCAGTGCTGCTTTGACTGCAACCCCCACCCCTACCCCCGACTCCACACCCTGGCGGTGCCTGGGGTCCTGTGACCTCTGAATAAACGTTTTCTAGTATCTTCTTGCCCATCTGTTTCTCCCAAGAGAGGGCCCCGAAGGAGGCCGCCCCCAGGACCTGACCCGTCGCCCCACTTGACCAACTAGGAGAGGCCGAGGCCCCGGGGACCTGTGATCGGTCCCCTCCGGGACACCAGAGGCCCGCCGGCCGACCCAGGCCAAAAGTTCAGGACCCCAGCTCCACCACGGGCGGCCGGTGACTCACTGTCCACCGGCGGCGGCCTGGCCCGGGAGCCCCGCGGCGCCGACGAAAACCTAGATCCTATCTGTGGTGAACCGGGTTCAAGGCCCACCGAGCAGACTCGGAGGAGCCGAGGACCAGGCCGAGGTCGAGGGTCACGCAGCCCCCCTCCCCGGCCCAGCCGGCCAATAACCGAGAGAATGGGGCTGTGTGCTCCCCGCGGGGCGCAGGCTGGGGGGTGCGGGGCCCAGCACGCCAGGGGCCGCGGGGGCGG